CTGGTTAGCAGTCAAATGCCTTAGGCACTACGCCACCAGAGCAACCCTGTAAAAAAAAAAAAAACTCACTGCCATGAAGTCGGATCTGACTCATAGCAACCCCTCCTTGGGTTTCTAAGGCAGTATCGTTACAGAAGTAGATTGCACAATCTTCCTTCTGAGGAATGGTTGGTAGATTTGAACCTCCAGCCTTCTGGTTAGCAGTCAGATGCCTTAGGCCCTATGCCACCAGAGCTCCCAAGAGCAACCCCGTGGCAAATCTGCCCTATAGGGTTTGCAAGGCTGTAAATCCTAATGGAAGCAGATGGCCATATCTTTTCCCATGCAGCAGCTGATCTTTCAGTTAGGAGCCAATCTCATCTCTAGTTCAGCCCTCTTGGTCAAACAAACTTCTGTACCTGAATTTACTCCAGGTACCTCAATATTAAACAACAACAACAAAAAAATTGCCATTGACTCAGTCCCAACTCATGGCGGGCAACCCCACGTGTGTCAGAGTAGAACTGTGCTCCATGGGGTGTTCAAAGGCTGATTTTTCAGAAGTAGATCAGCAGACCTCTGGGTGAACACAACCTCCAGCCATTCAGTTAGCAGCCAAGAGCATTAAACATTTGTACCATCCAGGGACTCCATATTAGCATATCTAAAATTAAACACAGCCTCCCTTGCAAACTTGCCCTTCCACTGTTATCCATGTTTTAGTAAATGCTACTACTGTCTTTCATATACTCACCCTCTCCAGAAACTGGAAGTCCTCATAGGCTTGCTCTCTTCATTACCCACTATGCAGCTCATTCTCGTAATGCTCACTAATTAATTTTCTAAGTTGGACTATATTGGCGACAACATCTGTACTGAACTAAAATCTTGAATTGTGAAATGAATGAGGATGGGAATTAGCTTGTGGGAATTTACTTTGTTACTAAAACTATAACTAGTACTTAACATGTGTAACTCAGATCTTGTTTGTTACTGGCTGTTTATTTGGGGATGAGAAGGGAGCAGACTGATCTGGATGTATTTATGTGAGCCTCCTTGTAAAGTCTTTATTTCTGCTCTGTGTTCAGTGCTTTTCGCGTCCAGCACATGGACCTGTCGAACTCTGTAATAAGTGTGTCCACCCTCCAAGACATTCTGTCTCAGTGCTCTAATCTACAGAATCTAAGTCTGGAAGGCCTACAGCTTTCGGATGCCATTGTCAAGTAAGTGCACTAGGGAGATTGTTTTTGTGATTGTCAGTTCTGTTTCCTGAACGTAATTCAGGTGTTCTTCCATCTGTATCCTGATGCCATAGAAAATATCCAGGGTTCCATCTTCTGCAAAACTTCCAGGACTCATCTAGGCACCAACATTTTGATTGCTGGCTATATGTCTAGCCCTTTGCTAGGTTCTAGAGATCAGGGATGAAGAAGGCATGGTTCCTGCCTCATTTATGGGAGAGATGTTCAGTGCATCAGTGAATATGTGGCAACACAAAGGAACACTTAATTAAATGTAGGGAGGACAGCCTCTTAAAAGGAAGTGACTCTTACGCTGAGTATTCAATATACTTAGGTAGGAGATCTCCAATAATAGGACAAAGGAAGCAACTTAGGTAAACTACTTGTATGGTTCTAAATTCTTGAGTTGGGAATTGCTAAAACATAGGATTCAGCTAGGAGAATGGCAGAAGGTGAGGATAGGCAGAGACCTCATACCAGGCCTCTGTCATGCTATAAAATGTCTAGACTCTTTGTGGTATGCTATGAAGATGGAATGGAGCATGGTGTTAACAGTGGTTAAAGCATTCAGCTGCCAAATAGTAGGTCAGCGGTTTGAACCCACCAGCCACTCCGCAGAAGTATGAAGCAGCCTGTTTCCATAAAGATGTATATAAAGGAAAACCTGCGGGGCAATTCTACTCTGTCCTATGGGTCACTGTGAGGTGGAATCGATGGTAATGGGTTTGGTTTTGGTATGAAGACAGAATGGTGGTGAACAGAATGATTTTCAGTATGGAAGGGACCTGTCAGAGCTGAAATTTGGAAAATTAGTTCTCTAGGCATTGGAGGATCAATCAGACATGGAAGAAACTAGACCAATTAGGAGGCTGTTATATTCATTCAGGTGTTAAATGATGAAACCTGGTGTGAAAATATACATACAAAAATAATAATAGCACTTCCGGTAAGATGGCGGAATAGGCATAGAAGCTACACAGACCCTGTTTAACAAAGAAAAGAGAAACCAATTGACAGAGATAGAAGACAATCCTAGAGCCCTGAGCTTTGAAAGGAGGTGTACAGAAGTGGATTAGGCACCAACTGGTGGAAAAACCTGAATGAAAACAGTGAATACAGAGATGGATGGAGCTGAGAACTGTCAGCTTCTCTGATGGCACCAACAGCCCGAATATTTCCAGGTGGTGTTGGGACTTGAGAATTGACCTAAAGGGCAGCTTTGATCGCCAAGGGCTGCAGGGATGACTGCGCTGGTGGCCTCTGACTAGGAAGGGAAACAGTAAGGAGGGAGACAACCTGAGCTGTGGACTTTTGGCTGTCCAGAAGGCACAGCCATTTTGATTGTTTGCAAGCAGTGGCCATATTGGATATTTAAAGAAACCAAGGGTACAGCCATTTTGAATGTTTACAAGTGGCGACCATTTTGGATATTTAAAGAGACAGCATTCTCATTTGGATTCCAGAGACCGAGGAATAGGCTCTGCTTGCCAAGGACAACAAGGACATACAGAAGGCTGACAACTGGAAGAGAGACAGTTGGTGAGTGTATAGGTGCTGCCAATTAGCAGATACAGGAGCACAGTTCCCTGCTTACGTAGATAATATCCAAACAGAAGGAAGAAGACAAAAATAATGGGCAAGTCACTCCCACATACAATCACCAATTAAATATAAACACAAAAACATCACAATGTCTCGGAGACAACAGACCATCATAGTCCACACAAAGAAGCAATAGAAACAAGGGACCAGGATACAGACCCAGAACAAATCCCTGAAGAAGCAGCAGCATTAGAACTTCCTGATAAAGAATTCAAAAGAATTATATTTAGGTACCATCAAGGAATTGAGAGACAGATCAAGGAAAACACTGACAAAATTGAGGAAAACACAGACAAAACGCTAGAATGATTACTAAAGAGAATACAAGAACAAAAACAAAATAAATGAAAAATTAGAAAGGATACAAAATCTACAGATAGAAATCTAGAAGATTAATACTAAATTTTCAGAAATAGATAACACATTGAATGGGCAAAGAAATAGAATTGAATCAATGGAAGACAGAATAAATGAGAGTGAAGACAAATACCTGAATACTTCTTGGAAAGGGATCAATCAGAAAAAAGATCAAAACAAATGAAGAAAGCCTAAGGTTCATGTGGGATACCATCAAAAGGAATAACCTACGTATAATGAGAATTCCAGAACAGGAAGAGACAAATAAAACCACAGAGAAAATTGTCAAAGATTTGTTGGAAGAGAATTTCCCTGGTATGATGAAAGATGAGAATATATCCATTCAAGTAGTCCAACGAACCCCAAAAGAAAATCACCAATACATACCATCATCACACTCACCAAAATCAAAGACAAAGAATCCTGAAAGCAGCACAGGAAAAACGAAAAGTTACCTATAAGGGGCAACCATTAAGGCTAAGATTGGATTTCTCAGCAGAAAACATACAGGCAGGAAGACAGTGGGATGGTATATATAAAACCCTGTAAGAAAAAAATTTCCAACCAAGAATTATGTACCCAGCAAAACTGTCCCTCAAATATGATGGTGAAATTAGGACATTTCCAGATCAGCAGAAATTAAGGGAATTTGTTAAAACTAGACCAACCTTACAAGAGATGTTAAAGGGAATGCTTTGGACAGAGAACCACGAACAGCAAACAACAACCGACCATTAACACATACGATGACATAACCCAAAAACCAACCCAGTTATAGAAGTATCCAAGAAATAAACCTACAAGATTGTAAACAGGGAACTGGAGACAGCAATTGACAAATGAGTACAACCACAAACCAAAAAGAGGAAAAAAATTGTGGAGTTACAGAACTTCTAGATGGTAGGAAAAACAAGACAACTGTAAGATAGAACAGACTGTTCTAAACTTGGGAAGAACATTATAAATCACAGGGTAACCTCAAAGAAAAGTGACAAACCTTCACATCAAAATAAAAAAGAAGACCAGCTCATATATTTAGCAAATGCTAAAACAACAGCGAGGAATGATATGATTCTTAAACAAAATGAGCTCAGCACAGAAAATTATAAGGAACAAAGAAATCAGCAACACCACGAAAAAGCATGTAACAAAATGACAGCAACAAGTTCTTACTTGTCGATAATTACACCACCAAAAGAGTAAAAGAGAACCTACAGATTGGCAAAAAATATTTGACAATGACATGTCTGACAAGGGACTTATCTTTAAAATTTATAGAAAACTCCAACACCTCAACAACAAAAAGATTAACAATCCAATTAAAAAATGGGCAGAAGACATGAATAGACACTTCACCAAAGAGGATATTCAGGCAGCCAGCAAATACATGAAGAAATGTTCATGATCATTAGCCATCAGAGAGATGCAAATCAAAACAACAATGACATACCATCTCACCCTAGCACTAATGGCAGAGTTCAACAAGACAGAAAGTGACAAATGCTGGTAAAGATATGGAGAGATTGGGACTCTCATACACTGCCGGTGAACTGTCAAATGATACAACCACTGTGGAAAGCAGTATTGTGATTCCTTAAAGAGCTGGAATTAGAGATACCATTTGACCCAGCAATCTCATTACTAGGTATATATCCTAAAGAATTTAGAGCCAGGATAATAACAGATATATGCACACCCATGTTCATTGTAGCACTATTTACAATAGCCAAAAGATGGAAACAACCTAGGTGTCCATCAACTGAGGAACGGATAACCAAACTTTGGTATATACACACAATGGAATATTATGCA